GGGAGAAGCAGACTCCCCACTGAGCAGGGAGCCCAATGTGGGGCTCAATCCCAGGACCTGAGCGGAAGGCAGATGCTCAGCTGACTGAGCCACTCAGATACCCTTTGCCCTTTTTTTCATGATTATTCCATTATGCAGTCTTTTTAGACATTTTTTTTCTAATTGTACCCCCCTTTCATGAAATTATAATACTCATTTATGTGTTCTATCTATCTATCTATCTATCTATCTATCTATCTGTGCTTTATATATAAAAAGAGTAATATTGGGGCACCTGGGTGGCTCAGTGGTTGAGCATCTGCCTTTGGCTCAGGTCATGACCCCTGAGTCCTGAGATCAAGTGCTGCATTGAGCTCTCCACAGGGAACCTGCTTCTCCCTCTGCCTATATCTCTGTCTCTCTGTGTGTCTCTTATGAATAAATAAATAAAATCTCAAAAAAAAAAAGTAGTATTTTTCACCCTCACCACTCACCTCAAGAATCAATTTTCACTTCCTTGAAGACATTGAAGACTTCCTTTGACATTGAGAATGCATGCACTAGACTGAGCTAAAAATCTGAGAGTGGGCTGCCTCCAGTCATTCTCCAGGGAAAGAGCTGAGGGCAAGGGCAGGGTGGAGGGTGGGGAGGGGGTAGCAAACTCCCTCCAGCCCACAAGCACTTTCCCAAGGCAAAACCTTTTCTCCTGTCTTTCCTAGGATACACCTGTCAGTCTTTGGGATTCAGTTCTCTTGGTTGCCTAACCATGATCTCAGTTCTCTGATGAGTTTTAAGAATCATAGTTTTACAGATTATCTGTTTTTTTCTTGTTAGAATGAAAGTGACATTCTCTTGTGGCTCTCTACATCCTAAGAGGAAGTGAAACTCTTCCTTTTCAGTTTCATGAAAATAATCAAAGGGGTTTTCATGCACTAAGTGTCCTGAGAGTGACTCCTAATGCCTTCTAAGGCAAAATCTGTAACTTACAGTTTCCCATGGATTTTCTCATTCTGTCATTGTTTGGGTTGTTTGCTGACATTTACTGAGCCCTACCATGTTCCAGCACTGCTTACATGTGTTAGTTAATTTCAAACCATCCTTGACTCCTCTCTTTTCTTTCATACCCACATCCTATCTATCAGGTGATCTTTTGGCTCTGTCTTCAAAATGTAATATATTTCTTTAAAAACTAAAAATGGATTTACAAAGGACCTAGCAATTGCATTTATCTCAGAGAATTGAAGAATTATTTTCATGGAGGAATTTGAACACAAATGTTCACAGCAACTTTGTTTGTAGTGGCCCAAACCTCCCTAGATGTCCTTCAAAAGCTGAATGGACAAACTGTGGTGACGCAGGGTAGTTGGAAGAAAGGCAGGCAGGGACAAGGTGGGCCCTTCTGTAAGAGGAAACCCACCCTTAAAAGGATTTTATGACACCCTGGAAGGAGCCCACCACCCTTTCCCACAGGATAAACAGATGATGAAAACCTGACCGGATCATAGGCACAGGGAGGGTTATTCAGATTATTACTATTTTTAAAAGATTTTACTTACTTATTCATGAGAGACACAGAGAGAGCAGACAGGAAAGGCAGGCTCCATGCAAGGAGCCTGATATGGGACTCGATCCTGGGACTCCACTATCACACCCTAGGGCAAAGGCAGATTCCCAACCACTGAGCCACCCAAGCATCCCGCTTAATCAGGTTGAAACAGCCTGCCCATAAAGCCCATAAAAACCCCTAGACTTAGAACCACCATGGCAACACTCTGGGATCTCCTCTGTCTTTGGGAGCTTTGTACTCTATCATTCAATAAACTTTGCTATATGGCTCAGTAAACTGCTTTGCTGCCCACCACTCTGTCTGGTCTACCTCTTCATTTTTTCGAAGCAGCATGATCAAGAACTGCAGGGACGGAAGGAAAAGAAATCCTGTAACAGTCATACATTTTATGTATGGGGTGCTATTTGGCAATGAAGAATAAATTGCTGGTGAAAGCAACAACTTGGATAAATCTCCAGGGAATTATGCTTAGGGAGGCTAGCCACCTGGGGATACATGTGGCATGATCCCATTTATGTAACAATTGTGCATAACATAATTAGGAAGCTAGGTTACAGACTGCTAGGTGTCAGAGGTTAGGTAGTGAGATGGGAGGGTGTGGCTCTAAAGGGGCAACAAGAGAGATCTCATGGTAATAGTACAGTTGAGTATCTTGTTTGGGTGGTTACTCCAGGCTACAGATGTGACAAAATTGTACAGAGCTACACACAAACATATACACAAATGAGTGCATATATAACCAGTGAAATCTAAGTAAACTCTGGATTATGCCAATATCAATTTATTGGTTTTGATATTGTGCTGTGGTTATATGATATGTTGGGGGGAGGGAAGAGGAAGATATATTGGAGAAGTGAATTTGTACTTCTTAGTGTATTTCTTTGCAATCTCATACAATTCTACAATTATTTTAAAGGAAAAAATTCTAAATATACAAAGAAAAAAATCTGAGTTCGTAGAGTACCATGCTTTTTAATTTTTTTAAAGTCATATGTAACACTTCACTTAGTGCTTTAAATAGAGTGTAGTAGTAAATATTTGTTGAATTATAGCAAATAATCGGGCAAGGATAGGGAGGAGAATGAGTATGTGGTCCAGTAAGAGTGGGAAAGAGATGTCATTGACCAAAACGGAAACAGAGCCCCTATGGGAAGAAGTGAGACAGAGAGAACATTTAATGAACATTTTCTGAAACACTGGATTTGTCCATCTTGTTCATCACTAAACATTAACGAGGGTTGTTCTTGATATAGTCTTGGGAATTCAGTACTTTTTTTTTTTAAATGAATAAAGTCATCCCCCAGAATTGATTGCTCACTAAAAGTCAGCATGTGTGAACCCCAGGGCTTCTGAAAACCTGCAAATTAAGGAATTATTTTCATTAGTTCAATTAAAGAATAATTATATTCTTTCTCACAGAGAGTGAGATTGAGCCCAGTGTTGGGCTGGTGGTGGAGCCTGCTTAAGATTCTCTTCCTCTGCCCCTCCCCCCTTCCTGCTCTTTCTCTATCACATAAATCTTTAAAAATAAATAAATAAATGAAACGCACCAAGTTAGTAAGAGTTCTGGGGATAAGTGCCATGGAGCTATTCTATTACTTTTCTACATCCAAGCAACAGCTGAAGCACTTTGGGTACAAAAAAGGCCAGAGTCACAAGGACCGAGGAAAACAAAGTATTCTTATCTCATTGTATTTTGATTTACGCGTTTGTCTCCACCTTCTAGATTATAAACTCCCTTAGGGCAAGAAGTGTGTAGGCCCAGCTGAGATCTAGAAAATAACTATTTATTGAATGCATGCATAAATTAGCCAAAATCCCTGCCCCAAGGTGCTGATAATCTAGTAAGAAAGGTGTGACACATATAATAAAACATTTTTTTAACCTTGGTCCTGCTGGACCTGTCAGATGGGGAAGGAATACACAATACTTGAAGACTGTTCATAAGCATGGCCAGAGCTTATGAGGTAAGTTTTCTTGGAGAGAAGATCCTACTTCCAAGAACTGTGGGTCATAACGTTTAAGCTATAGTGTATGCTGAGTGAAAGAAGCCAGACCGGAAAAAAAAGTACATATTGTATGATTCCATTATATAAAACCCTGAAATACGCAAACTGGTCTATAGTGAAAGAAAGCAGGTTAGTGATTGCTAAGGGATGGGAATGGGGAGGAAAAGGAGGAAGGGATTACAATGGGAGGGAAGAAACCTGTGGGGTGATGAACATGTTAACTGTCTTGATCATCATTTCGTGAGTTTATCTACATATATCAACACATGTCAAATTGTACATCTAAATATATGCAGGTTACGTACATCAATTATTCCTCAATAAATTTTTTTTAAGATTTTATTTATTGATTGATGAGAAACAGAGAGGCAGAGACATAGGCAGAGGGAGAAGTAGGCTCCCTGCTGCAGAAGCAGCCCCACGTGGGACTCAATCTCGGGACCCAGAGATCACGACCTGAGCCAAAGGCAGATGCTCAACCACTGAGCCATCCAGGTGTCCCATACAGTTATTTTTTTTAAAAAGAGGTGCGATTGAGTCCCCGCAATAGGGGATCGGAGGGACAAACTTTTTCCTTGGGAGCAGAAAGGTCATATGCGAAAAATAAGTTAGCAAACTATCGCTAAGACTCAAACCTGGGCTTAGCAAAGGAAAAGAAAAGGCAGAGAGGCATATATCAGACCCGGGACAACGGGCAGCGTTTGCGGAGGTGGGTGGTGTGCGCGCTGTCGGTGGGGGACACCGCTGGGGGGAAAGGATGGAGCCCAAGAGGTCCACCTGGGAAGAGTTTGTTCTGCCCAGAGTCTCAAGGAAGAACGTGACTTGGGGTGGGAAGATGATGCGGCGTTTTGGGCGCGGAGACCAAGACCTGTGTCTAAGGCACAGACAAGGGGCGGGGAAACGGCGCAGGAGAGCGTGGGCAGAGGCCGGACCCGGCCAGCGCGGCGGGAGGCCAGGCCAGCTAGCGGAGCCGAGCCCACGCCGCCGCCCCAGGCCGGATCCCGGCGGCCCGGAACCTTCACCCTCCACCCTCCACCCTCCACCCTCCACCGCTGCTCCCTCGAGTTCCAGTCCGGGAGCGGAGACGCCCGTCCGGGGGAGTCCCGCCCAGGTGTCCGACCGAGAGCCCTGCACGGGAACCCCGCGCTGGTAGGTGGTAGCGGTAGGTGGTAGCGGTAGGTGGGGGCACCTTGCCCGGCGCGTGCGCGCGCGGCGCGCAGGGAGGCGGCCTGGGAGGGAGGGAGCGCGCGCCCTTCACGTGACCCAGCCCGCGGGCGGCGACGCACACGACGCGCCCCTCACGTGGTCCGTCTCCAGCCCCGTCGCCGGCGGAGGCGGGCGCGGGCGCGTCCCTGTGGCCAGTCACCCGGAGGAGTTGGTCGCACAATTATGAAAGACTCAGCTTCTGCTGCTAGCGCCGGAGCTGAGTTAGTTCTGAGAAGGTTTCCCTGGGCTGTCCTCGTCCGGCGGCCTCTGCTGCCGCCTCCGGAGACGCTTCCCGATAGATGGCTACAGGCCGCGGAGGAGGAGGAGGTGGAGTTGCTGCCCTTCCGGAGTCCGCCCCGTGAGGAGAATGGTACTGGACCCACGCAGGCCCCGGCGGGGGAATGGCCCTGGGGGTTGCGGGCGGGGAAGGGGCAGGACCTGCCCGGCCACGGTGCGTCCGGAGCCGTGCTTCCTGGGGCGACGGAGCCCCGAATTGCCTTGAGGCTTCCGGACTCGTCCCGGCGGGACGGGAGTGCAGTTGGCTCGGGGGTGAGGGGCAGGAAGCAGGTAGCAAGCCTGGCGCGACCGCTCGCCGCGGGAATCCCCGGAGCTGAGACCTGGCTCCCGCGAGGGCCCCTCGAGGCGGCCGAGGCGCGAGCCGCGAGTCCCTGCGGGAGCCGAGCGGCCGCAGCGCGCCAGCCGCAGCGCTCAGCCTCCGAGCGCCGCATCTCCCGGGAGCGCGCTCTTCCTGGCGCCAGTTGCTGGCAGATAAGGGAGCCAAAGGCTCTGCTCAAGTTCTGCTTGGAAAGGGAAGGAGGGCTGGGAGGGAACAAAAAAAGGGACAGAGGACACGGGTTTGGAGCTGTGCCTTGTTTGCTGCGCAGTGGATACTCCACAGGTACGTTTTCCTTTTGGGACCAACAGACGAGGGCTTTGACGATTCTGACGGTCGGTCTGGTTTCCACTTCTCTTTAGCAAGAATTAAGGACCTTTATTGGGGCGTTGCTGTAGGTAGGTACCCAGGCGATGTGCGTCTGGATTTATGTCCAGCTACCTCGTCCGTTGCCTTAGAGAAGAAGGGTCGGGTCGGTCGTGTTTTAAACCCACGATGCGGAGTGGCGAGAGGGATTCGGTGCATTGCAGCTTTTAATGGAACTTTTTGTTGTTGTTAAGGCCGGGAATCACATTTGAAGATTTCTTACAAAGAAAGTAATTTTAGATCGGGGACCTGAAGAGCGAGGAGTGTTTTTCTGCTGTCCGAACCTGATAGGTTCCGTGCGAACATCTCTCCCTCTGCTGGAGTCTGGCAGGTTTACTTTTTTCTCCAGAAGTGAATTCAAGTGCCATACAAAAGTGAAACCACGAATGTAGTTATACTTTGAATAAATAGCGCAACTTACACTATTTGCCACCTTCGATAGCAATGTAAACTCAATAAAAGCATCATTTTACTTTTTTTCCTTGATTTTAAGGAAGGCTTACCGACACCAGATTTTTAAATTTATTACTTAAATGGGTTTTAAGAGAATCTGTTGTTTTTTTTTTGGGGGGGGGGAGTTGAATCACTGTCTTTTTAATGGAAAAAGGAAACCATTAATACTGACTCTTCAGTGATGTGTCTAGGGCTTTTCAGCATTTCAGCATTCAGCATTATCAACATAGCATTTCAACATTTCGAAAAACATTTTTAGACACCTAGAAACTGGAAATCAAGATGATTCATCATCTTCAAGCCAGACAACTTTGTTTCTAATGACTTTCTAGTAAAAGTCTCTAATTTCTTAGTCTTACTTCAGATGCTCTTCTTAAATCCAGCCTCTTGATGTTTTGCTGCCTACATGCTTTGAAACCCAACCTTCAACAATTAAGATATGGTATGAGTTTCTCCTGTTTCTGCTGTCTTTTCATTCATGTCCAGTTTTTTTTAATAGCAGATATTCCCCCCTCAATATGTTTGTGTACATAAATTGTGCACTATCTGTGGAACACAGTATGAACTCAGTGTTGGTTGTACATGCTAGCAATCCTGTTGATTCTACAGGGAGAAAATCTCACTCAATTTTAGGTCAACACTGTGACCTAAAAGTTCATCAAAACATGTTATCTGCACTGTATAATTTATAATTTTTACTGTAAACTTATTTAAAGTGTTTGCTTCTTGAGGGGCACCTGGGTGGCTCAGTTGGTTGAGAGTCTGACTCTTGATTTTGGCACAGAGACCTGGGTTCAAGCCCTGTGTGGGGCTCCCCACTCAGGGGGGATTCTGCTTGTCTCCCTCTCTCTGTCCCTCCCCAGCTCACACACACTCTCTCTCAAATAAATCCATAAATCTTAAAAAAAAAAAATTGCTTCTGGTAATCAGTTTTTTCTTTGACACTAAAAGAATGCCTACAAAATTTGAAGCTTCAATTAGTCAACCAACCAACCAAAAAAACAAAACAAACCACACCAAAAGCACAAGTTTAAAAACTGGAGTGCAATCAAATTTTGTACAAAACTGTCTACCATGGCTATAGAAATATTTGTTTTACTCATTTGGTATCACTTATTTAATGTTTAACATATTCTAAGCACTGTGATAGGCATTGGAGTGACAAATAATGTGTAGAAAGTGTTTTCCACTTTCAAACAGCTTACATAGATCTAGTTGTCAGTGGAAGGTGCATACATCATAAAACAAACATTTAGTGTCTCTTCTATTGCAGACACTGGTACTTAGTAGTTTTGAAAGGCAGTAAAGGCAAGATAGGCAAATGCCAGAAGGATACTGTGATACTATTACATAGATTACTTTAAAAATATGGAATAATCAGGAGAGTAAAGAAAGTCTGGGTGGGTTTGCACAAAAGCTGATAGTAGAGGTGAGTCTTACAGTGTCATTAGGATTTGGAATTAATCTGGAAATAGAAGGGACATTGAATTGGTTTTAGTCCAAGGGAACTTGAGCTTTAGAAAAGAAGAACATCCTTAGTTTATTCTGGGAACTACTGTACAAGTACTTTATGTAGTTGGGAACGAGTAGAGTATGGAATGATATGGGATACTGGTGGGAGTATTTCTGAGACTGATAAGAACAAGATGATTTCTTTCTTTTCTTTTCTTTTCTTTTTTCTTTCTTTCTTTCTTTCTTTCTTTCTTTCTTTCTTTCTTTCTTTCTTTCTTTCTTTCTTTCTTTCTTTCTTTCTTTCTTTCTTTCTTTCTTTCTTTCTTTTTCTTTCTTGATTTATTGGAGAGAGAGAGTGCGTGTGCATGCGTGAGGGGAGGGCCGAGGATGGAGAGGGAGAGAATCTCAAACTCCCCTGCTGATTGCAGAGCCTGATGCAGGGCTAGATCTAACAACCCCAAGATCATGACCTGATCTAAAACCAAGAGTTGGACCCTCAGCCGATTGAGCCACCCAGGCGTTCCAAGGATTATATGTTCTTAGGGCAATGTATGTCATGAAAAGAAGTTTGGATTTCGTACAGGAGATGTTAGGAATCTACTTTAAAAAACATTATGGAGGGTAAATGGTATGTGTTTAAATTGAAAAGAGAGACCCTAAGGAGGAGGCTACAGCAAGACTCTGACCAAATATCAAGGGTGTGAAACAAAGAAGTAGTAGAAGGAACAGATTGAGATGTTTAGGAGTTAGAATATTATTCAGAACTTGGTTACTTTTGTGGAGTAAAGTGTGTGTGTGTTGGCAAATGTCAGTTATAGTTGAAGTCATTAAAATATGCAAATGTAATTCTTAAAAGGAAATACTTAAAATGCACATTTTGGGTTTTGATTTTTAAATGAAGGGCTGTTTAAGTGCAAGCAGTTGCAAAAGTTTGAGAGTTCCACCAATCAGATATTTTTGGCCTTGTGCTCTGATATTCTCTCTTTAACATTCTAATATGGGAGATTTCACACATACAGAAATATAATAGAAGAATGAATCATGATACATCCATGACCACTTTGACAGTTTGAAATGTGTATTTTGTGTCTTCTCTTATTTCTCCCATTACTCCTCAGATGGAAAACTTAAAAGACAATCTCAGACATATTTCATTTATAAATACTTCATTGCATATATTTCCGAAAAGACAAGGATTCTTAACACATCTACACTGCTACTAGCACACCTGAAAAATTAGTAATTTTAAATATTATTAAATATTCGGCATATTTCCCTGATTGTTTCATATTTTTCTTCAGTTGGTTTATTTAAATCAGGATTCAAAGAATTCCATACAGTATCTGCTAAGTCTTTCAGTCTCTAGTAACCCCTCTTTTTTTTGTCTTGTCATTTACTATTACTATTTATTTAATGAGAAAAATCAAGATCATTTGCCCTATAGAATTAGCCACAGTTTGGATTTTGTTGGATGCATCCATATAGCATGATGTAACTTGTTTCTCCTCTATTTCCTGTGGTTAATCTAAAGACTTGATCAGATTGTAGTATGATATTTTGGCAAGAGTACTTCACAGGTCGTGGTATGTATCTTGTATTGCATCACATTAAGAAGCACATGCTTTCTGGTTGTTTTTCTTTTTCTTTATTTTCTTTCTTTCTTTCTCTCTTTCTTTCTTTCTTTCTTTCTTTCTTTCTTTCTTTCTTTCTTCTTTCTTTCTCTTTCTTTCTTTCTTTCTTTCTTTCTTTCTTTCTTTCTTTCTTTCTTTCTTTCTTTCTTTTCTTTCTTTCTTTTCTTTTCTTTTCTTTTCTTTTCTTTTCTTTCTTTATTTCCTTTTCTTTCTTTCATGTTGAGATTGACCAGCGGTGGTGTTAGCTGCCTGATGTTTTAGTTGTGAAGTTCTTGGTCAGACATTTACATAATAGTTTTAGTAGTAGCCACTGATTATTGTCATTGATCTATTACTTCATTCTAGGTTTCTCTTTCCCCTTATTTTTTGTCTTTGTTTTGTGTTTTGTTTAGAGAGCGTGAGTGGGGGAGAGGGAAAAGGAGAGTCAAACAGACTCCATGTCCAGTGTAGAACCTATGTGGGGTTTGATCATTTGAGTGGAAATGAAGAGTTGGACATTAAGTGAGCCACTCAGGCTCCCCTCCTCTTATTTGAGGAACTTTTCAGCATATGATTAAATTTTACAGTTTTTTTTTTTAAGTGACTGTTCCTTAAGTGCGTGCTTTTCTTCTTTTTTTTAAAAAAGATTTATTTATCTAAGAGACAGTGTGCAGGAGTTGGGTGCAGGAGCAGAGGGAGAGGGAAAGGGAGAGAGTTCCAAACAGGGACCCCCTGCTGAGTGCAGACCTGATGTGGGGCTGGATCCCATGACCCTAAGTTCATGACCAGAGCTGAAATCAAGAGTCAGATGCTTAAATGATTGAGCCACCAGGGCCATTAAGTGCCTGTTTTAAGTTTGAGTACCTAGAGGTACCC